GTCTTAACATGAAACGATCCATTTTGAAATAATAATAATAATAATACACTATTTATATTCCGCTGTATCTCCCTGAGGGAACTCAGGGTGGATTACAGTATATGCATATACAGACAAACGTTCAATACATTTATACAGTGAACAACGACATACAATATACAAAGGCAAAGATTTCCCTTTCCATCTCCGGCGTCTGTAGATGATGCTCAACTCTGGCCATGGGTAGGTGCTCTTGTTCTATTTTCCATGCCAAGGAACCTGTTGTCTGTAGACCTCTCTGGTAGTATTTTGCTGGCATGGCTACAGGGCACCATTACAAGTTTTCAAACTGCTAGGTAGGCAGAAGCTAGGGCTGTCAGCGGGAGCTTACCCCAACCCATGGCTTCGAACTGCCAACCTTCCAGTCAGCAAGTTTGTCTGCAACTAGCAATTTAATCTGCTGAGCTACCATGTCCCTGTTGGTAGTAAGAATAGAACATTACAATACAATTTGCTGTGCTAAGAAGATGATTCCCCCCACTTCCCGCAGCTTATGTGATGAGGTCCTAGGTCAGAGTTTGGAAAAGCACAGACTTGCTAGCTGTGGGATTCTGGGAGCTTTAGAACAGAATCCCTGCCTTCGTTGCTATGAAGGACTTATTGACATTTCATTCAATCCACTCTAACATACCTTTAAAATTCACCTGCAGTACTAATACTTCCCTGTGCCTTCTCTCATGATGAGAAAAATGCAGCTAACTTACTTTCCTCCCCCTGCCCTTTCTATTTTTCTTGTTTTCACCAGTCACAGTCCAAAGCCATTCTTTTCAAGCTGTGGGAAGAGGATATGCATACTGCTGCTACCAAAATAATGCAACAGAGATTGCTTTGTCTACATTTAGGGCAACTGCAGAGACTGGAACACAACTGTCAAACAGGGCTAGCCCCTCATTCAGTTACTGCTCCTATCAGTAAAAACCATTTGTATAACAGGGCTAGTCTCTATTTTTATTTTGTAGCCTCCCCACCCCCTCAATAACACCGCAGGAGCCATAGAAAGGTATCTGTGATGTTTGTGAATCTCTTTGGAATATTTAAGGCAAAGGAGAGGCCTTTCTTCAGCTAGGAAGTAAATCAAAAAGTCACTTCTGTTGTGAGAAAATTGGCCGTCTGCAACGACGTTGCCCAGGGGGTGCCTGGATGTTTTACCATCCTGTGGAAGGCTTCCCTCATGGGAAGCTGGAGCTGACAGACTGGAGCTCACCCTGCTCCCCAGATTTGGACTGCCAACAGTTCAGCTGGTACAAAGGCTTAACCCATTGCTTAAACCCTTTTTCCTAGTTCCAACAGACCTCACTACCTCTGAGGATGCTTGCCATAGATGCAGGTGAAACGTCAGGAGAGAATGCCTCTAGACCATGGCCATACAGCCCGAAAAAACCTACAACAACCCACTGGGTGAATTGACATCAAATTTGGAAACAATACACCTATCAGACCAACAAGTAAGCATCACTCATAAAAACACTGAAAAACACAGTGGAAGAGACTTAAAAAGCCAAAAAAAATTTAAAAAATGCATTACAATGCATATGCAAAAACCACATACACACACACACGTATACACAAAACACATATACACATACTGGCCCACAGCAACGCATTGCAGGGGATGGCTAGTATTAAATAAAACTTTTTACATTAATTTCAAAATTATTTTAAAGCATTAAAAATCTTATCTAGAATGTACATCTCAAAATTCATCACATCCCACTGAAAACTCTTCTGCACAACCAATTAAAAGCCAAAAGCCTGTTGAAATGAAAAAGTCTCCTGGGGGGAAAAAAAGAGATATTTCCTTTGTTATGGAACTGATGCAGCAAGCATATTTCCAGTGACACGCAGCACATCTGCAGGGGAGAAAAGATAATTGGTTTCTTAAAAAAAACAAGGGCAAGTACAGTCACAGGTCCTGCATTTAAGCTCCCTAGCTCTGTGTAGCTTGAGAGGATTTAATGAAGACGAAATACTGTCATTGGCAACACTTTAGAGAGAAGGAAAGCAGAAAAAGCAGAAGGCGCATTGGGCCCACTGTGTTCGCCAGCCCTTCTGCTTACTCGGTTTGAGAAATATCTACTGCTTTTGGACTAGACACACATTCTTCTCTCTCACTTCTCTGTCAGGAAAGAGGAAGTGAAACTTTACTATCAGCATTTTAGTCTATTAGCACAACCCTTGGCCACCGTTCACTTTGAAATGATGTCCACCTGTCTTAAATAGAGCTTTCCCTATTTGCACAAAAAGCTAACCTAGAAGAAGTAAAGCTAAGGGTGCGTCTACACTGCAGAATTCATGCAGGTTCACACCTTAAAGCAGGCCATGGGCAAACTCCGGCTCTCCAAGTGTTATGCACTTCAACTTCCCACCATTCCTAACAGTCTCGGCCCCCCCCCCCCCCCCCCGCCACTTAAGCGTAGAAGGCACCTATTTTGGTCAACTGCTGAAGAAAGAAGGCACACAGAGGAAGCTGCAAGTGGGAGAACTGAAGGATGAAAGGAAAGTGGAAGCAGTGGGAAAAGAAACCCCAAAAAAGGCCCAGGCGCCTCTTCTGGGAATAGTGCAACCCAGGAAATGCCCTACTCTAGAGAAAGAAAAGAGGGGGGGTGGAGGGAGAAAGAAGAGGGAGAGGAAGGGCGGAAGAGGAAGGGAGGAAGGGAAAGAAAGAAAGGGAGAGATGAAGGAAGGAACAAATGGAGGGAGAGTGCTGGGAGAGAAAGAGAAAGAAAAAAGAGGAAGAGAGGGAGGGAGAAAGAAAAAAGAGGAAGGAAGGAAGGCTGGAAGGGAGAAAGTTGGGGAGCAAGAGAACGAGGAGGGAGGGACAGAGAAAAAAGAGATGGAGGGGGAGAAAGTTGGAGTGAGAAAGAAAATGGAGAGGAAGGGAGAGAGAAAGACAAAGAAAAAGAGATGAAGGGAGCAAGAAAGGGAAAAAGTTGAAGAGAGTGAGAAAAGGAAGACGAAGGGAGGAAGGGAGAGAGTGAAAGTGAGGAAAAAAGATGAAGGATGGGAGAAAGTTGGAGAGGGAGGGAGAAAGAAAAAAGAGAATAAGGGAGAAAGTTGGAGAGAGCGAGGATGAAGAGGGGAAGGAAGTGAAAGAAAGAAAAAGAGAGATGAAAGAAGTCAGAAAGGAAAAGAGGGAGAAAGAAAGAAAAAAGATGAAGAAAGAAAGAAAGCTGGAGGGGGAGGGAGAGAAAGAAAAAGGAGGAAGGAAGGGAGAAAGTTGGAGAGAGAAAGAAGAGGGAAAGGAAAGAAGAAAGAGAGAAAATAGATGAAGGAAGGATGAAATGAAGAGAGAGAAAGCTGGAGAGGGAGAGAAAGAAAAAGGAGGGAGGCAGGGAGAAAGTTGGAGAGAGAAAGAAGAGGGAGAGGAAGAAAAGAGGAAAAAAGAAAAGGAAGGAAGGGAGAAAGTTGGAGAGGGAGGGAGAGAGAGAAAGAAAAAGGAAGGAAGGGAGAAAGTCGAAGAGAGAAAGAAGAGGGAGAGGAAGGAAGGAAGAGAGAGAAAAGAGAAGGAAGGAATGAAGAGAGAAAATTGGAGAGGGAGGGAGAGAAATAAAAAGGAGGGAGGCAGGGAGAAAGTTGGAGAGAGAAAGAAGAGGGAGAGGAAGGAAAGAGGAAAAAAGAAAAGGAAGGAAGGAAGTCGGAGAGAGAAAGAAGATGGAGAGGAAGGAAGAAAAAGAGAGAGAAAAGATGAAGGAAGGAAGGAATGAAGAGAGAGAGAGAAGGGAAAGAAAAAGGAGAGGGGGGAAAGAAAAAGGAGAAAGGAAGGGAGAACGCTGGAGAGAGAAAGAAGAGGGAGAGGAAGGAATAGAGAGAGAAAAGAGAAGGAAGGAATGAAGAGAGAAAATTGGAGAGGGAGGGAGAGAAATAAAAAGGAGGGAGGCAGGGAGAAAGTTGGAGAGAGAAAGAAGAGGGAGAGGAAGGAAAGAGGAAAAAAGAAAAGGAAGGAAGGAAGTCGGAGAGAGAAAGAAGATGGAGAGGAAGGAAGAAAAAGAGAGAGAAAAGATGAAGGAAGGAAGGAATGAAGAGAGAGAGAGAAGGGAAAGAAAAAGGAGAGGGGGGAAAGAAAAAGGAGAAAGGAAGGGAGAACGCTGGAGAGAGAAAGAAGAGGGAGAGGAAGGAATAGAGAGAGAAAAGAGAAGGAAGGAATGAAGAGAGAAAATTGGAGAGGGAGGGAGAGAAATAAAAAGGAGGGAGGCAGGGAGAAAGTTGGAGAGAGAAAGAAGAGGGAGAGGAAGGAAAGAGGAAAAAAGAAAAGGAAGGAAGGAAGTCGGAGAGAGAAAGAAGATGGAGAGGAAGGAAGAAAAAGAGAGAGAAAAGATGAAGGAAGGAAGGAATGAAGAGAGAGAGAAGGGAAAGAAAAAGGAGAGGGGGAAAAGAAAAAGGAGAAAGGAAGGGAGAACGCTGGAGAGAGAAAGAAGAGGGAGAGGAAGGAATAGAGAGAGAAAAGAGAAGGAAGGAATGAAGAGAGAAAATTGGAGAGGGAGGGAGAGAAATAAAAAGGAGGGAGGCAGGGAGAAAGTTGGAGAGAGAAAGAAGAGGGAGAGGAAGGAAAGAAGAAAAAAGAAAAGGAAGGAAGGAAGAGAGAGAAAGTTGGAGAGGGAGGGAGAGAAAGAAAAAGGAAGGCAGGGAGAAAGTTGGAGAGAGAAAGAAGAGGGAGAGGAAGAAAGAGAGAGAAAAGGGAAGGAAAGAATAAATAGAGGGAGGGAGAAAGAACGCAAGGAGAAAGAGACAGAAAACAGGAGAGGGGAAAAGAGAGAGGGAGAGGAAGGTAGGGAGAGAGAAAATTGGAGAGAGAGGAGGGGAGGAGGGGGAAAGAGAGGAAGAAAGAGAGAGGGGGGAGGGAGGAGAAAGCAAAAGCGAGGGAAAGAAAGAAAGAAAGAAAGGCCCTTCCGCCTCCTTCCTCCCGGAGTCCGAAGATTGGGAGCCGCCTCCGCAGGTGAGGGCGGGGCGAGGGGCGGGGCTAGGGCTGTGGGCGTGGCCCGAAGAGAGGGAGGGAGGGAGGGAGCCTTTCCTTCTCTCCCTTCCCTCGACGGCACTCACTTCGGCGGAACGGCGCTTTCGGCCTCGGAGCGCCCAGCGAGCGCCTCCTACTCCTTGGAAGCCCAAAGGTAAGCGGATTGGGCCCTTTACCTGCCGGGAGGACGGCTGGGTTTGGAGGGAAAGATAGAAAGAGAGAGAGAGAGAGAGGCGGAGACTTTGCTGGGGAAGAAGGAGACGCTGCCCGCCAAGTCCCTCTTCCTGCTCGGCGGAGTTTCCCCGGCCTTGCACAACTCCGCTGCGTGCCTCTGGGTGCCTCTGGGTCCCATCTGTGCAGCCAGGACTTCCTCCTTTGAAGAGCCTCCTCCTCCTCCTCCTCCTCCTCCATGTTGTCTCTCGAGTCTGCCTTCTTTGGGGCTCCCCCCTCCTCCTCCCCTCCCTCCTCCCCCCGGGTGCAAAGAAGTCTGTGGGAGCTCGTGGTTCCTCCTTCCCCCCTCCAGCACTCTCCTTGAGGGAGGAACCCAACTGGTTTGCTCAAAGTTCCTTTGGGTGCACTTCGCCTGTCGAAGGAATGCAGGGTGACACAACTGGGACTGCTTTTTACTCAATGCAGTGGAACCCTGGGAGTTGTAGTTTTAGTGAGGCAGAGAAGGCTAGGGACCTTGCAAATTACCACTCCCATGAATCCCTATCATGGAACCATGGGGTCAAATTGCATTCCTTCTATAGCAGCCATAGGACAAATTGGGCCCTCCAGGTGTTTTGGACTTCCACTCCCAGCATTCCTAACAGCCTCAGGCCCTTTCCTTTTTCCTTTCCCTTTAAGGAATGCTTAAGCGGCTGAGGGTGAAAAGGAAGGGGCCTGAGGCTGTTAGGAATGCTGGGAGTGGAAGTCCAAAACACCTGGAAGGCCCAAGTTGGCCCATGCCTCTACCACATAGAAGATACACCCTTTGCTGTAGGCTCGAGGTTGGAAATGTCACCTTGCCAAACCTGCAAAGCCCATTCTTCCAATCCATATTTTGCAGGAAGTCTGGCGGAAGAAAGACCCCATACTTTCAACCGCCAGATGTCAAAAACTGAAAGGCCGCACCTGTCACTGTAGGAAACACTCAGCCTCTTGTCTGTCTGTTTGCTTGCCCTGTAAACCTGGTTTTCCAGAAAGTTATTGGCCTGGTTAGAATTGTCGAAGGCTTTCATGAGTGGTTGTGTGTTTTCCAGGCTGTATGGCCATGTTCCAGAAGCATTCTCTCCTGATGTTTCACCCACATTATGGCAGGCATCCTCAGAGGTTGTGTAGACCTCATAACCTCTGAGGATGCCTGCACAGATGCAGGCAAAACGTCAGGAGAGAATGCTTCTGGAACATGGCCATACAGCCCGGAAAACACACAACAATCCAGATTCTGTGTGTCATTGAACTCTAATTACGATTCATAACAGTAGCAAAATTTGTCGAAGGCTTTCATGGCCGGAATCACTGGGTTGTTGTAGGTTTTTTTGGGCTATATGGCCATGTTCTAGAGAGGCATTCTCTCCTGACATTTTGCCTGCATCTATGGCAAGCATCCTCAGAGGTAGTGAGGTCTGTTGGCACTGTCAGGCCATCATATGCTAATCAAGGTGGTCAGTTGAAACATTCACACCTAGCTCCAGCAGACAAGAGTCCTTTGTCCCACCCTGGTCATTCCACAGATATATAAACCCTTTTTCCTAGTTCCAACAGACCGCACTACCTCTGAGGATGCTTGCCATAGATGCAGGCGAAACGTCAGGAGAGAATGCCTCTAGACCATGGCCATATAGCCCGAAAAAACCTACAACAACCCTATTATTATTATTGTTGTTGTTGTTGTTGTTATGTTTGTTTATCCTGCTTTATTATTATTATTATGTTTGTTTATCCCCTGCTCTCTCGCTCTACAAAAGACTTGGAGCTGCTGGAGTGAGTTTGTGAAATATACCATGTGATTTCTCTCTGGGACCTGCCTCCCTATGGTTCCCACCCATCTCATCTTAAAGTGTAGTTTACTCTCTAGTATTAGGTGTGGTTTTTTTCTTTCTCCCTAGGCCACCTTGTCTAGTATTCATAGGTATTTGTTTTAGTTTAGGGTGGATACGTGTTTGCTTTGTCATGCTAATGTATGGCTCGGTTTGTTTGTATGTGTCATACCTCCAGTTTTTTGATAAGTTAGGAATGTTTCGGTTGAGCACTTGTTCTCGTTTGTGACAGCTTGGTGGCAAAAGTATGATAGCTGGGATCCAATGGTGGTTGCGCGACACAGGTCAGAATTAGAGAAGCAAAGACGTTACGTATTTGAAAGTGTTCGCATACGATATCTGGATAGCCTTAAGCACTATGCTTTGCTGTTTGTTGTTCCCCTTTCTGTCCCCTCTCCCCCCTTTTCTGGTGAACTATCTTGCCACGACTCTGTCGCACTTGCGTCTCTCATTCACTGCGCTGTCTCGGCTATCATACTTTTGCCCAGCTTGGTTTTCACTGGTGACACTGGTGGGTGGGACAATATAATCTATTTCATTTTGGAGTCTTAAGGTTTAAACAGGGAATTATATTAGGCCCCTTCCAAATAGGCCCTATGTCCCAGGATCTGATCCCATATTTTCTGCTTTAAACTGGATTATGTGAGTCCACACTGCCAGAGAATCTGGGATAAACAGAAAACCTGGTATATAGGGCCTGTCTGGAAGGGCCCTTAGATGTCTTTTTGGTTTGGTGCTGTGCCACCAAAGCCACCATTGCTTGGGAAAATGTGTTGTGGTTTTGCAAGCACATCAAACCGTGGTGGCCAGACATTTTGACACAGATGCCGGTTGTCAACTTCAGAGTGTGTAGTAACACCATTGCAGTGTATGCAGAGTACCGTAACTACGTTGCCTGACACAGAGGACTTCCTCTTCCTATACAAACCTCAAAAGTATGCAAAGAAATCTTGTAACACTAATCGGAAGAGGTTGGTACTATAAGCATTTGTGTAGACTGAAGTAGGTTTAGTAGACGGAAGCTTACAAAAGCTCGAGCTGCCAACTTCTTTCTCTCAGGGTGCATTGACCCTGTATCATTCATTCAGTTTGGCACCACTTTAACAGCCATGACTCAATGCTATGCAGTCCTGCTACTTGTAGTTTGATGAATAACCTACACTCTTTGGCAGAGAACTTTAAAGACCCTGTAAAACTATAGCTTCCATGATGTCATAGCATAGAGCTAGGACAGTTACAGTGGGGTTGTTTTTTTATCATGTTAGGAGTGACTTGAGAAACTGCAAGTCACTTCTGGTGTGAGATAATTGGCCATCTGCAAGGATGTTGCCCAAGGGACATCCAGATGTTTTACCATCCTGTGGAAGGCTTCTCTCATATCCCCGCATTGGAAGCTGGAGCTGACAGATGGGAGCTCACCCCGCTCCCTGAATTCGAACCGCTGACCTCTCAGTTAGCAGTCCTGTCTACGCAAGGGTTTAACCCATTGCACCACTGGGGGCTCCTAGTTGCAGATACTACCAGCTGTTAGGAATTGTGTGAGTTGAAGTCCAAAACACCTGGAGGGCCAAAGTTTGCCCATGCCTGCTATAGATGCACCTTTTCTCTAAAATGTTACAAGATCTCTCTGCATCCTGATCCAAGCATAAGACACTTATGCGGCCATAGGTGTCTTATGTATTACAAGGTCTTTAGCTTTCTCTGACAAAGAGGACTGGTGTTTCACCAAACTACAATTCCCAGGATTCCCTGGCATATTGAGCCACAGCAGTTAAAGGTGTCAAAGTGAATCTCTTCTACAGTGTGGATGCATCCTATGTCTTGGAAGCCTCAAAAGCGACAGTCATACTGCAGGTTGCACCCCACAGTATATCGCTGCCTTCTTTCGGGATGGAACTCCTGCCTTTGAAAAGCATATGGGTGAATTGAGTAATATGTGGCCTCTTTCTGTTACAGTAGCAGTTGTGTTTCTAAATGCAATGGTGAGATATCCAAATGACTGCCTCTCTATGCAGGGGCCATAAAATAATTAGTTCCAGGAATCCTAGCAAGCTGTGCCTTGGAGAACAAATAGGGAGGAGTTTATTGTGGCGCTCCTAAAGATGTGGGAATGCTATGGGTTGATGCAATTTGCTTATCCTTAAATCAGATTGTGAAAACTGTGGAGCCTGTTAATAGAAGAGTGAAGCAAGTCAACTCATTTGCACTTTGGCTGGAATCCTGCACATGTATTGCTAAAAACAGCTTGGTTTTTATCCCGTAGGACTTACAGCTCATGAAATACAGAGGTTTTTCTATTTCTATATTCAAGTTTGATGTGATAAGCACATTTTCAGTCATGCTAGCCTTAAATGATGAGACATATCTGAAAATGCATGTTGCTGAGTGTACAGTACATTTTCCTGAGATTAAGTTTCCAAGACAGAATATATGTGCAGTACATGAAAGTCAACGCTTTCAAATTCATGGAGCCATACTTACTTTTTAAAGGATTTGTAATCCATGTATATTTCTGTCTGGTGATACAGCAGTTTTGTTACACGTTTGAAAATGCAGTATAAAGAGAAATATTACCCAGCGTGAATAATGTTAACCTTCAAAAGCAGTTAAATTCTCTTTAATGGGACTAACATTACTCACCAAGGAGATAGTAAAATAATGATGTTGCTCATCAAACACCAACATGCCCTTTTTTCAGTGATACTCAGACAGGTGGTCCACAGACCAATGCCAATTTGTGGGCGATTGGCTATTGATCTGCAGCAGGCTTTAGGAGCCTGTGCAAATGGGATGATAATCTGGTACAAAGGTTAAAGGAAAAGGTTGTCCCCTGACATTAAGTCAAGTTGTATCTGACTCCAGGGGTTGGTGCTCATCTCCATTTCTAAGCCAAAGAGCCGGCGTTGTCCATAGACACCTCCAAGATCGTGTGACCAGCATGACTGCATAGAGTGCCGTTGCCATTCCACCGGAGCAGTACTTAGACTTGCATGTTTTCAAACTGCTAGGTTGGCAAAAGCTGGGGCTAACAGTGGGAGCTCACCCCACCCCACAGATTCAAACCACCAACCTTCCAATCAGCAAGTTCAGCAGCTTAGCGGTTTAACCCACTGCACCACCATGGCCCCAC